AATTCATCATTCCATCCACTGTAACATGTTGCCTTCCTCTACTGCTCCACAGAAAACTGAGAAACCTAAATAAATACCCACTATAACACACCCAACGAGTGGCTATCCAGAGTCTGCTTGACAATTTCCATGGAAGAGAGGCCCTCCACCTCTTGTGACAGCCCATTTCATTTGTGGATAGCTTTGATTGTTAGGTCATTCTTCTTGGTTGATATCAAGCCTAAAGGAGGAAAGTGCCATCTTGGAGAAATGAACTGGCCCTGATTCCTTAAAATCCTAAAATTAAAATAATCAGTGGCAGTACTCTCGATGATCTTAATGGCCAGCAATTGCGTATAGTGAAAGACAGTTTGACAAACTTTCTGGCTCTGGACTTACACATTGTCTGGCTCTAGACATTCAAATTATAACACAAATGCCTTGAAATATTTCTTCTAAAAACCTCGTTTTACATAAGAATTAGGAAGTAGAATAATCCTGTTGAATTCTGTAATGGCCAGATCACATCTGGAGTATTACATCCAGTTGTGGATGCCATACTATAAAAGAGATGTTGAAAAACTAGATTTTAGGCAGCAGAGGTTGAGCAAATAGGATTAGATTGTAAGTTCCTTGAGAACAGGGAATGTCTTTTACCTTTTTTGGTATTCCCAGAGTTGAGCGTGGTTCCTGGCACGTAATAGGTATCATTGACTGGTGAAGGGCTTGGAAACTATGTCTGATGAGGATAATTGGAGACAGAGGAAGAGATGATTAAGGCAACACAGGGTAGTTATCTTCAAATTCTTGAATGGCTGATATGTGTGAGAGAGAATAAGACTTATTTTACCTTGTTCCAGAAGGGAGAATCTCAGGACAAAATCACCAGGTCCCTAATATGTACCAAGCACTGTGATTTCAATGGGCAAATAATAGGGAGGCAGGTTTCAGGTCAGTATCAGGAAGACAGGCAGTGTTGCGTAGTGGATAGAGCATTTACTTTGGAATCAGGAAGACCTGGGTTGAAGTCCTGCCTTGAACACATACTGGGTATGCAATTCTAAGTCAGTCACTTAAACTCCAAACTATATTAATTCCCTGCACTGATGGAATCATAAGTCAAAGACAATTTTTTAATTAAACCAAATTTCTAACAACTAAAACTATTTAACAGTAGAGTGAGGCAGCTTTGGGAGACTGCTCCTATCATTAGAAGTGTTAAATCAGACAGTAGGTGACTGACGTTGTCAGAGATACTGTTGACTAAATTACCTCTAAAGCTTCTTCCAGTACTAAGGTTCCATAACACTAGATTCTGTGGAAGCAACATTTCAGTTTTATTTCTGGAATAGAGAAAAACCTGTGTGGACTCCATGAAGCTGTAGTGGTTTGCTACTTATGCATAAGGATGAGCCTTTTTATCCTCTGAAGAACCATTGACCTACTTACAGCAAAAGGCAGCCTAATCTATCCTCCTTTCCTTAGAGAGAAAAGGTTCAGCTCAACTGTTTTTAAAATTAAGAACAGAAAACAAAGTTTTATTCAATAGTTTCAACAAATATTTTAAAAACTTACTTCCATTTCATAATACAATCAGTTAAGAAGAAGGATACAGGACGATGGGAGGTAGAAAGGATGAAGGGGAAAGATGGAGAGGGAAGAAGAATAGGTAAGGAGGAAGAGAGAGAAAGGAGAGGGAGAGAAAGGAGAGGGAGATAGATTGAGAAGCAAGGGAGAGGAAAAGGTTGGGATGTAGTAAGTTCTGAAGTGAGTGTTTAGTAGAAAATAAACTGCTTTTGTGATGGTATCTTAGGTTACAGGCTTCAGAGTAAATTGCAGCAATAATCTGTTTTCCTGTTTCCTCTAACAGATCGTAACCTATGTTTAACCTAGTAGATAAGTCTAAGTTGCCTGAGTCTCAGGAAGGTTACGTGACTTGCCCAAGGTCACAGAGCTAGCAAATGTCGCAGGTAGGATTTGAACTCAAGCCTCCTTCACTCCAGGTCTACCACTCTATCCACTGTCACACTGCCTCTCAGAGTAATTCACATTAGAGTTAGAAGTCCCTGGGTTCAAATCCTACCTCTAACATTTACTAGATAGGATCATGGACAAGTCAGAGCCTCAATCAGCATCCTAAGACTTAACTACTAAGTTACTGAAGGGCTGTGATCCACATTGGATGAGTAAATTCGCAACACGGAATGCTCCATATGGTTGCATTTGCATAGTTATTCCATTACAGGCTCTGTTCCGAATGTGGGTCATAGCCATCCACCAAGAGGGAAATAATTTTGTGAACTGTTAGCAGTGGTGACTAGAACTTACCCCCACAACACACTTGGGACTAGAGTCAAGTTAAAGGTTCTATCTGTCCTACAGCCCAGAGATCCCCACCCTTGCCCTAAATGTTTAAACTGCCATGCAGTGAAATAATTGTAACCTCTAAAGTGCCTTCTGGAGGAATCTCTCAAGTAAAGAATTTTAATGTTATGTTTATATGATACAAGGCACTAAGATTCATTGTGATAAACACATAGGGCAAGTATCTCAATTGTCTTTGGACAACACACTATCCAAGCTTGCTTTCTACTTAGTTGCTCTATGAGGAGAACTTTATTTTCCTGTTTAGAGTGACACCCCAACTATTTAAATGATGAATGTTATTCAATTGACTACATATTCTGCTCACCCACAGGGTTTTTGAGGAATGTTGTGGGCTAAGGGTTAAGAAAAAAAGCAATGAGGAGAAGACAGAGTCAACCATGCTGGGGAATTTTCTTAGAGCTTAGTTCTCCTGAATAGCATTTTCTCGAAAGAAAAGTAATAACACTGAAAGAAAGATGATTGACAGGTCAAAATTCCCAAATACATATAGCAAAACAACATTCTGACTAAAGGCTGAGGTTTAGGTTATGTTACCATTGATTTCTAGTCTGCGTAGGAACCTTATGAGATGGTTGTAGTAGATAGAGGAACAACTTAGGAGTCACAAAAGACCCTGGTTCAAATCCTAAATCTCATTCATTATTGGCTGTGTGTCTCTGGGCAAGGCACATAAGCTCTTAGTGTCTTTAGACAAGTCCCTAAGCCTAAATTGCAGAGCAGTTAACTGGTGATCTGCTTTGGTTAGGATTTCCCCACTTAAAGCTCACCACACTGATGAAATCCCACTAGAGAAAAAAAAAAAAAAGAACCATATCAAAACATGCTTTAAATCTAACTACAAGAGAAATGCAGATTAAAGCAATGATAACTTTTAATCTCATCCTTCAAATTGGAAAAATGTTATATGATAGGTATAATCTATTTTGAGAGAGACTAGGAAGATAGGCATATTGTTAGTGGAACTATGAATTGTTCTAACCATTCTGGAAAACAGTTTGCAAAAAAAAAGTAAATTGTTCCTGCTTTTGACCCAGGAATCACATTTCCAAGTCAAAGATGTCAAAGACAAAAAGAAAAATTCCATATATGTATACCAATATTCATAGCAATAATTTTTTCAATAGCAAAGAACTAGAAACAAAATGGGGAGAAAGGCTGTGCAAATTGTGATATACAAATGCTATGGAATAGTGGCATATTTGTTTAAAAATAAGCAATATAAGAAATTCAGAGACACATGGGAAGCATAGGAAATGAGGCAGAACCAAGAAAACAATATAAACAATGACTATAGAAATATAATGGAAAGAACAATAAAATGCAGCCATATACCATGGAGTTAATAAGATTCCATCTTGGCCCTAGAAAAGCCAGGAAATGCCCTCTTTTGTTGGAAAGGTAAAGGGCTATGTGAATGGTATATGCAAATACAACCAAACACCCTGGCTTTTTCTATTGGTTGGTTTTACTTCATTGATTTTTTTGTGTTATACACTCTATGTAACTCACCTTCTAAGACTCACTATATATGAAAGGAGGGGTATAACTGAAGATGAATAGAGATAAAATGTTATTGTTATTGTTCAGTTGTGTCCAACTCTTCATGACCCCATTTGGGGTTTTCTTGGCAAAGGTACTGGAGTGATTTTACTATTTTCTTCTCCAACTCGTTTTACAGATGAGGAAATTGAGGCAATCAGGGTTGAGTGACTTGCTCAGGGTCACACAGCTAGTAAGTGTATGTATTTGAACTCAAGTTTTTCTAACTCCAGGTGTGGTGCTCTATTCACTGAGCCATCTTAATTTCACTGATCTAGGGAGCATCTAGATGAGAAAATCCTTCTGTCAGTGCAGGTTAGCTCCTCATCTGCAGCTGTTGTCTTAGAGAGTTACACAAAGAGGTTAATTGACTTACCCATAGTTGCACAACCAGTATATGTCAAAGGCCATCCTTGAGCTCATGGTCTTCTGGCTCTGAAGTATATTACTTCATAGTTTCCTCTCATCTTGATTTACAAAATGGTTTGTGTTAAAACAAAAGACATCAATAAAGTCGTTAAAAAGGAAATGGCTAAAGAAAGACTGCACAGCGGGAAGCAATTTGTGATGAGATGGCTTTACTAGTGGGGCAGAAAAATGGATCTGAGGAAGGAGAATGATTGCAAAGTGACCTGTAAGATTGACATGAATGGAAGCAAAAGGGGAGTTGCAATTTATTTCAGGATCATAAGCTTACCAGTGGAATGGAGAGCTCACTTAGTGTCTTCAGGCTTCTCACAGTCGGAATACACCAGCATCGGCTCAGGGCCCCCAAAGCTTCTAATAATGAGACTGGACCTTTCTGGGAACCCCAAACAATCGATCTTGACTGGAAACCAAAGGGATCCGTTGAAATGTAATGAGTCTGACAGCTGTTAGACTTAATTCATATGGCCCTCTTATAGCACAACATACTTTATGTGGTTATGTCATGATTCCCAAGCAAAAAAGTCTTGCTCTTTTTTCATAGTTTTCTAGATTGATAGACTTATCCACCCAGGACTTAGAAATAGTATTTTGGCCATGATGGGGAAATGAAGTGATCTGATTGAACCTGAGAAAGAGCTTTAACATGTGATGTGTTCTCTCCTTAGGAAAATGCTTGCCAATTCAGCCAGTGTGAGGATTCTCATCAAAGGGGGTAAGGTGGTAAATGATGACTGCACCCATGAAGCTGACGTTTATATTGAAAATGGCATCATTCAGCAAGTGGGAAGAGAACTCATGATCCCAGGAGGAGCCAAGGTGATCGATGCAACTGGAAAGTTGGTGATTCCTGGGGGCATAGATACCAGCACTCATTTCCATCAGACCTTCATGAATGCCACATGTGTGGATGATTTTTACCATGGAACAAAGGTAATGTTGGCATTGCTTGTGGTTGACTCTTTTAGATCATTCTGCTCATGGAGAAAGTAGCATATTAGGACCAAGAGTGATTTCCCAATGTTATTAATAAATCTGGAATGGCACTTGGAATTTGAGTACCTCATTGATTGTGCCCCAGGGGAGGGGAGAATAGGAATATCTATTTTGAGGAATTTACTTCTCAGTATAACCTTGAAGTGATTTCAGTCAGTATCTTTTTTTAGCCTTAGAAGAAGTTGTGGAAAGGGAGAAATGTAAACTAGCTTTGCAGCTTGGGTGTTTGACTATGTCCCCAAACTAATTTTCATATGGAAAGACAATACAAGCTGAAAGGGTTGGGTTGGGGAGGAGGAAGGTTTCTTTGCTTTTTAAGGTATAGACCAATACATTTTTTGTATTCATGGGAGGTTACATTTAAATTCTCCTTTTCAGTGAAATATCTGCACTTCTTTTGGAGACTAGAAGTTGGAATTTTGATCAGTTGTTTCTTATTGTCATTCATCACTGCCCTTTTTTTTTAAAACAACAGTCTTGCATAATGCTGTTAAGTTCTATTTTTAGTTCAGATGGATTACGGTTCTGACAACATTGAACATTTGCTTAACTGGATCTGAGTTGTTGTCAAGTCATAAGTAATTAATTCCTGAATAAAGATGCATCCTCACATATAATATGTGGGGGTGTGCATGTATTTTTTTTCATTATTGGACTGGACATATGATTTCACTGGTGTAGGGAACTAACATCATGGTCATCAGGAAAAATGAATCCTGAGACCAGATCTCTATCACCTATTCCATACCCCTTCTTAACTTCCCCTCAGATTAGAGACAAACAGGCAGATAGACAGATGGATGGATACAAACAGAGAGAGACAGGTAGGTAAGATAGAGAGAGAGAGAGAGAGAGAGAAAGACAGACAGATTATAACCTGATCTTTGATATTAATCCTAACCCCCTAGAAGGACAATACTAATAGAACCACTCAAGAAGGTGGGTATATTTCATCTGCAAGTCAAGATCTTAACCAACAAATACTAAGAACGCTAAGTGCTTTAACAGCTTGGCACTTCAAGGGGCCTATGAGTTCACTGGTGTGGGGGCTCCCTCTTTTGCCCCAAACTGGAATCCGTTCTTTATTCTGTATATTCTTAACACTGTATGTCAATATATATGTGTGTGTGTACATATTTACATATTTATTCATATTCTCATTTGACTCACACAGCTGGTCCACTTCCTTTTCCAATCGTTGATGTCTTTTATGCCACATCTTGCATATAAGCCATCTATGGTATTGTGCTTTAATCTACTTACATTCATGATATGCTTCTCCATGACACTTTTGGTAACCCACAATTTAGATCTGTAAGACCATGATGTTCAGTAATTTGCATCTCTCTAGTATCCTTAGGAGAAGAGTGATGTTGAAAAGAAGGGCTTTTGTGTCAGAAAACAACTTGGGATTGAACAAATGAATGAAAAAATATTCACTCAGTGCTTACTGTGTGCAAAGCACTGTGTTAAGCCCTAGAAATACAAATAGAAAAGTAAGATAGTCTCTCTTCTCTCAAGGGATTGCTGAAAAAGCTTGCAGTTTCCCAAATGCAATTCACTCTGCCCTGCTCCTCCTATTCAATTCTTGGCCCAGCTTATTGTCCATGTATGCATACATATTATATATACATATACACACATGGACACCTATTGTACATTTGTAAATATATCATTACTTTGTGGACATTAAATTTGGTCTAGAGCTTGATGCCCCAATAAAATCACAATGTCTGCAATTTCTTAAAAGATATGCTGGCCTTTTAAATTTTCATTTTCCATTTTTTCATTAACCAGCACATCACCAGACATTGTCTGCCCTGATAGTTAAGATCCCATGGAAAATGTTCAACTTTGTATTGCCATTGAACATCTTTGGCTTTGTGTGGGGCTTCCATACACACATTGATTGAAATATAACCTTAATTTTATTGGGCTTCTCACTCTATGGAGGGCAGCTACTACCCATACAAAGTCTTTTTTATCTTTTATTTTTTTCTAATCACATGTAAAAACAAATTTGACATTTAAAAAAATTTTGAGTTTCAAATTTTCTCCCACTCTCCCTACCCTCACCCCTCATTGAGAAGGCAAGCAATTTGATATAGATTATACATGTCCAGTCATGCAAAACATATTTTGATATAAGTCATTTTGGGAAAGAAAACAGATTCCTCCTCCCAAAGAAAACACCAAGAAAAATAAAGTTTAAAAAGTATGCTTTGATATGCACTCAGACTTCATCAGTTCTTTCTCTAGAGGTACATAACATTTTTCATCATGAGTCCTTCCAAATTTTTTAAATCATTTTATTGCTGAGAATAGCTCAGTCATTCACAGTTGATCATCATATAGTATTGTTGTTACTGTGTATGATGTTCTCCTGCTACTGCTCATTTCACTTTACATCGGTTCACATAAGATTTTTCTGAAAGCATCTTGCTCATCATTCCTTATTGTACAATAGCAATCCATCACAATCATATAGTACACTTTGTTCAATCATTCCCCAATTGATGGGCATGCCCTCAATATTCAATTCTTTGCCCCTAGAAAAGAGCTGCTATAAATATTTTTGGACATATGGGTCCCTTTCCTTTCCTTTTTAAAAAAAATCTCTTTGGGATGCAGACCTAGTAGTGATATTGCTGGGTTAAAGGGTATATATAGTTTTATAATCCTTTAGTTATAGTTCCAAATTGTTCCACAGAATGGTTGGATAAGTTCACAATTCTACCAACAATGCATTAGTGTTCCATATTTTCCCACATCCCCTCCAACATTTGTTATTTTCCTTTTTTGTCATATTAACCAGTCTGATAGGTGTGACATAGTACCTCAGAGTTGTTTTAATTTGCATTTTACTAATCAATAGTGATTTAGAGCATTTTTAAAATATAAGTATAGAAAATATAGATATGATTTCTTCATCTGAAAACTGCCTGCTCATATCCTTTGACTTCTTATCAATTGGGGAATGACTTATATTCTTACACATTTGACCCAGTTCTCTACATATTTAAGAAATGAGGCCTTTATCAGAGAAACTTGATGTAAAAAAATTTTTACCCAGTTTTGTGATTTCCCCCAGTTTTGGATGCATTGGTTTTGTTTGTGCAGAAACTTTTTTAAATTTAATGTAATGATAATTATCTATTTTATATCCCATAATGCTCTCTATCTCTTGTTTGGTAATAAATTCTTCCCTTTTCCATAGATCTGATAAGTAAACTACTCCATGGTCCTCTAATTTACTTATGTTGTCATCTTTTATGTCTAAATCATGTACCCATCTTCACTTTATCTTGATATAGATGTGAAGTATTAGTCTATACTTAGTTTCTTCCAAACTGCTTTTCAGTTTTCCCAGCAGTTTTTGTCAGAAAATTCTTGCCCCAAAAGCTTGGATCTTTGAGTCGATCACATATTTGATTACCATGCTCTTTTACTACTATGTATTGTGTGCTTAATCTTTTCCACTGATCTACCACTCTATTTCTTAGCCAGTACCAGATTGTTTTGATGATTGCCACTATATAATACCATTTGAGATCTGGTTTGGCTAGCCTATCTTCCTTCACATTTTTTTTCATTAATTCCTTTGATATTCTTGACCTTTTGTTCTTCCAGATGAATTTTGTTATTATTTTTTTCTAGTTCTATGAAATAGTTCTTTGATAGTTTGATTGGTATGGCACTGAATAAAGAGATTAATAGAATTGTATTTTTATTATATTGGCTCAGCCTACCCACAAGCAATTAATATTTTTCCAGTTGTTTACATATGACTTTATTTGTGTGAAAAATGTTTTGTAATTGTATTCATATAGTTCCTGGGTTTGTCTTAGTAGGTAGACTCCCACATATTTTATATTCATACAAAATCATTTATGCACATTTGTACTCAAGATCATAGTATTCAGGGCGCAGCTGATGATTTCCTTGATTTTTGATAATATTTGGAGCTTAACGTTGTAAGTAAGTAATATTGGCAGAGAAATTAGAACATATGAGCAAATCTTCACCAACCTACCAGTTTCCAAAATGTTCAGAAACATATTCTGCCCAGGGGAATGAAATAAATTAGACTATAAACTAATAGCCAGGATGAATAGCATTTATTTGTTGAACCCCAAACCAAACCTAAATGTTATATTTTTGTTGATTCAAAAACTGAACCAGAGTTTAATATAAAGATTTTTCCCATTTGACCATTTCCCCTCTTAATCTACCATTACTGATTTGTTTGTGCAAAAGCTTTTATATTTTACGTAGTTGAATTGTCTGTTTTCTCTTTTATGATCGCCTCTATTCCTTGTTTGTTAAGGATTCTCCCCTTAGTCATAGTTATGAAAAGCCAGTCAGTCAATAAACATTTATTAAGTGCCTACTATGTTCAGAGGCGACTGGGAGGTGGATCTGGAATCAGGAAGACCAGAGTTCAAATCCAGCCTCAGACACTAGCTGTGTGACCTGGTCAAGTCTCTTTGTCTCAGTTTCCTCAACTGTAAAAAATGGAGCACTCTGGAGAAGGCAATGGCAAATGACTAGAGTATCTTTACCAAGAAAACCCCGAAAAAATGGAGTCATGAAGAGTCAGACACAACTAATATGAGTTAACAACAAAGAAAGGCAAAAAACAAAACAAAACAAAACAAAAACCAGTCCCTGCTCTCAAGAAACTCACAGTCTGTTAGGGAAGACAATGTGCAAACAACTATCCATAGTACAAACGAACTATGTATTGAATAGATTGGAAATAATCAATAGAGGGAAGGCACTCAAGTTAAGGGGGATTGGGAAGGCGTCTTCTAGAAGGTGGGATTTCAGCTGAGACTTGATGGAAGCCAGGAGACAGAGATGAGCAGAGAGAGCATTCCAAGAATGAAAAATGCTTGGAGTTGGGAGGTTGAATGTCTTGTTTGAAAAATGGCAAG